CAGTGACACAGAGTGGTGGGACCAAGGTGTGCGGATTTGTTAGGGGCTTGGGCCAGCTTCACACCTGCTCTTGCCTTCTGTGGGGCTGCAGAGTCCCCTCTGCAGGACATGGAATAGAGCTGCAGGGGCAGAGCTCTGGCTGGGTTTGGTGAGGGCGGTTGGTCAGGTATGCACGGAGCTCTTTGCTTTACCTGTGCTGTGGGTCCCAGCAGCAGGAGGGTGGGATGGGGCCCGGGGCAGGCACTGACCCTGTGTGTGGTTGTCCCTGTGCTGCAGCACGGCCGAGCGCATCCTGCCAGGGGCCGAGTTCCACCGGTACGTGAAGGGGCAGCGCAGCGTCGTGCGCTCCCCACGCCCCTACACAGTCCCCCCGGAGCTGGCGGAGCACCTTGACTTCGGTAGGTCCTGCACCGGGAGTGCTGCACCCCCACTGCCCGGGCGGGGGGAGGGAGGCTACAGCACTGAGCAGCCAGGACTGACCCCACAGTGTTCTGGAGGACAGGAGCAGGGCCTCCAGGCTGCTCTGGGCCCCCTGAGGGGCTTTGTGCATGCCTCATCCCTGGCAGTGTTCAAGGCCAGACTGGATGGGGCTTGAAGCCACAGCTCTGGAAACACAACCTGTGCCGGCGTCCAACTTCCCTCCTCCCGTCAGGTCCTGCAGGGGATGGCAACCCCTGTGGGATGCGAAGATGGTGGAGGGCGAGCCAAGGGACCATGGTACCATCCTGCTGCAGCTCTGGGCTCTAACAGCCACTTCTTTCCTGCTTGTTTGTGCACCAGTGGGTGGCCTGCACCGGTTCCCTGCGGAGAGAAAGATCGTCAGCAGAGCCTGGATCAAGAAGGAGCTGGAGCAGCACCGTGGAGGGAGAGCAGCTTTCCACTTGGGAGTGACACCTTCCATCCTTCGTCAGAGATACAACATGACGAAGGGAGACATCGGGCTTCTGCCGAACAACAGCCAGGCCTGTGCCCAGGTAACTGGTGGAGCTGATAGGGAATTCCATAGGGAATTCCACCCATTGATGCATCTCCAGCACTTCCCTGCTGTGCTGGTCCCAGGGCAGCGGGGGGGCTTCCTCGGGGGCTGGGGGGAGCACTTGGTGGGCTCAAGCTTTGTGGACCCTCTGGAGCAGCTTCTAAGTGGGGAGAAAACCAACTGGATTTCTCAAGAGGAAATGAGAGGCCTCTTGTCCTGCCCTTGTCCCGCAGTTCCTGGAGCAGTACTTCCACCAGGCTGACGTGGCCGAGTTCATGAAGCTCTTTGGCAGCAGTTTTAGCCACCGCACTCAGGTTGACCGAGTCGTTGGGCACCAGGGCATGGGCAAGGCTGGGCTGGAGGCCAGCCTGGATGTGGAATACATCATGAGCACGGGTGCCAACATCTCCACATGGGTCTTCAGCAATGCAGGTACTGCTGCCCTGCCAGGGATGTCCTGTGACTGCTTCCATGCATCCCATTGCTGTGGCACCAGCACAGGTGCCTATGCTGAGGGAGCATCACTTTGCTGGTGTCTGACCAAACACACATGAGCTGCTGTGGAATCATCATCCCAGACTGGGTTGGGTTGAGGGGACCTTAAAGCTCCTCCAGCCCCAACCCCTGCCACAGGCAGGGACCCCTTCCACTGGAGCAGCTTGCTCCAAGCCCCTGTGTCCAACCTGGCCTTGAGCACTGCCAGGGATGGGGCAGGTGCAGCTCATGCTGCTGAAATGAGCCTAGCAAAATGCTTTCCCACATACGCCAGGGAGGGACCTTGTGGGCTTCCAAAGCTGGGGCTGCTGCTGGTATCTGATTGCTCACAGGGAAATCCTTGCACTGGTTTGTGTAGCTGCTTTTGAGATGGTGTGAACTTTGAGTATCCTGTAACAGGCTCTTCCACACCTTAAGTACACAGTGTAAAGCGTTACCCTGCTCTGCTCCTCTTCATGGGGCGAGAGCACAGCAACCCTGTCCTACTGTTCCTTTTCTGCTGCTTTGGGGCTGAAGGTTGAATCTGTCAGTGCGGAGGAGGGGAAGGAATCTGTAAAACCAGGCTTGCAAAACAACCTGCACCAGCAGGGCCTGTGGTGTCTGCTCCAGATCAGAAACTGGCTGAGCAGGAGCGGGGGTGCCCTGAGGCCCGGCAGCTCTGCCCTCCCAGCAGAATGTGAGCAGCTGAGAGGGGAGGGCTCCGCTCCCACCTCATGGAGAGGGATGAGGGGCCTTGGGCAGGTGGAGGTGGAATCATCCTTCCAGGAGCAGAGACTGGATGGAGCAGCCTGAGGAGAAGGACTCGGGGTGCTGGGTGAGGAGAAGCTCCCCATGACCTGGCTTCAGTGAGCGCTTGAGCCCAGAACCCCCCCTGTGCTGGGCTGCACCCCCAGAGCGTGAGCAGCAGCTCAGGGAGGGGATCCTGCCCCTCTGCTGTGCTCTGGGGACACGGCTCCTGCGGCCCTGATCCAGCTCTGGGGCAGCAGCACAAGAGGGACCTGGAGCTGATGGAGTGAGGCCAGAGGAGAGCACGGAGCTGCTGCGAGGGCTGGAGCAGCTCTGCTCTGGAGCCAGGCTGAGAGAGCTGGGCTGGGGCAGCCTGGAGAAGAGAAGGCTCCTGAAGGGGAGACCTGAGAGCAGCTCCAGTGCCTAAAGGGGCTGCAGGAAAGCTGGAGAGGGGCTTGGGACAAGGGCCTGTAGGGCCAGGCCAAGGGGAATGGCTTGAACCTGCCCGAGGGGAGACTGAGCTGAGCTCTGAGGCAGAAGCTCTTCCCTGTGAGGGTGCTGAGGCGCTGGCACAGGGTGCCCAGAGAAGCTGTGGCTGCCCCATCCCTGGCAGTGCTCAAGGCCAGGTTGGACACAGGGGCTTGGAGCAAGCTGCTCCAGTGGAAGGGGTCCCTGCCCGTGGCAGGGGTTGGGAATGGAAGAGCTTTAAGGTCCCTTCCAGCACAAACCAATCTGGGACTCCATGACTGTAGGATTCAGCTACTGGTGCTGGTGGTGCTGCTGAAGCATGCTCACCCCTTCTGTCCCTTGCATCTTGTGGTCCAAGGAGCTGAACTTTCCTCCCCATGTGTCTGCAGGGAGACACGAGAGCCAGGAGCCCTTCCTGGCCTGGCTGCTGCTGCTTAGCAACATGTCCTCACTGCCCTGGGTGCACTCTGTCAGCTACGGTGACGACGAGGACAGCCTCTCAGTGGCCTACATGGAGCGCATCAACGTGGAGTTCATGAAGGCGGCTGCTCGTGGCTTGACCATCCTCTTTGCCTCTGGTGCGTGCTGGTACCAGTGCTGGTACCAGTGCTGGTGCTGGTGTGAGTTCATCCGAGCATCCCAGTGCACTGCGGAATTCCATGGTTGGGGTGTTCAGCCCTGGGCAGCCGGGATCCCCTGGGAATGCTGTCCGGGATAACCCCCTCCGTCTGTGCCAGCAGGTGATGATGGTGCGGGGTGCAGGAGGGTGCGCAGCGGGAACCACACGTTCCGGCCCAGCTTTCCAGCCTCCAGGTAGATGTGGGGAGAAGAACATGGGTCCTGTGGAGGCCTGGGTCTCCACACACAGCCTCTGCTGCTGCTGCTGCTGCTGGTGCTTGGAGCCCCAGCCCGGGCCAGTGCCAGCGTGGGGCTGGTTTTGAGCTGCTGTGGGGCCTCCTGGGGGTCACCCCAGTGACCTGCCTGGGGACACTCAGAGACTGGAGCTGGGAGTGGCTGGTGTGTGGGTTGACCCTGCAGTGCCCCCCATGTTCCCCCAGCCCCTATGTCACCACTGTGGGTGGAACAACCTTCAAGAACCCCTTCCTGGTGACGGCCGAGGTGACCGACTACATCAGCGGCGGTGGCTTCAGCAACGTCTTCCCCATGCCCCAGTACCAGGTGAGGCAGCGCTGGGGCTGCAGGCAGGGCTTGGGGTGGTCAGAGATGTGATGGGGGCTCCAGGGGCTGGAGCTGAGCCCTTGTCCTGTACACAGGCCGGTGCCGTGAGGCAGTTTCTGCACTCGACTCCAAAGCTGCCACCCAGCTCCTACTATAACAGCAGCGGCCGAGCCTACCCTGACCTGGCTGCCCTCTCAGACAACTACTGGGTGGTGACGAACCGCATCCCGCTGCCCTGGGTGTCGGGGACCTCGGTGAGGATGAGGACCTGCGGCCAAGCTGCTGGGTGCTGCGGTGCTTTGGTGCTCACGTCCGGCTGCTCCATCTCCTCACTTGTGCCGCAGGCATCCACGCCAGTGGTGGGAGGCATGCTGGCTCTCATCAACGACCGGCGGCTGCAGCAGGGGCTTGCGCCCCTCGGCTTCCTCAACCCCGCGTTGTATCAGCTGCGGGAGCAGGGCCACGAAGACGCACTCTATGACGTGAGCTGGGCAGGGGGGCGGATGTTGGGTGCTGGGGAGCCGGGGCAGCTGTGGGGCCGGGGCTGCCGGGGGGCAGGGGAGCCGTGGGGCCAGGGCAGCGACTGCGCTGGGGCCATGGGGAGGAAGTGGCCATTGGGCTGGGGCTGCCGGGGGGCGGGGGGGACTCATGGGGTGGGTGCTGGGCACATCCCGGGGCTGCTGCTCCCAGGGCCGGGGGCATGAAGCTGCCTTCCCACGGTGCTGGGTTTGGGGCCGCGCTCCGCGGGGTCCCCGTGTGCTGGGGGGAGGGCTCCGGGTGTCCGCGGGGGCTCGGGCCGGGCCGGCGGTGCCCGGTGCGCTGAGGGCTGTCCCTGCAGGTGACGCAGGGCTGCCACGTGTCGTGCCTGGACGGCGCGGTGCAGGGCCAGGGCTTCTGCGCCGGCCCCGGCTGGGACCCGGTCACCGGCTGCGGCTCCCCCAACTTCCCGCGGCTGCTGCGGGCGCTGCTGACCGGCGCCGCCAGGGGGCGCCAGCAATAAACGCACCGCTGCGCGCCCGCGCGTCTGAGTTTGTGCCCGGGGACGAGGCGAGCGGGTGGGGCCAATGGGGTGGTGAGGTGGGCGGGACGTGGGGGGCGGAGCCAATGGGGCCGCAGGCTGCGCGCAGGCGCAGCGGCGGTAGGCGGTGCCGGTGCTGCGCGGCGGCGGGCGATGAGCACCAGCGCCGAGGCGGACCCGTCGGCTCCGGCCGCACCTGCGCCGCCCGCTCCCGCCGACAGCAAAACGAGCCCCGGCAGCGGCCCCGGGGCGGCCCCGGGCGCGGTGGGCGGTGCGATGCGGGTCGCGGCGGGCGGGAGGGGGCCCGGGAAGCGCGGCCGGGCCGGGAGCGGGGGAGCGGAGGGCAGCGGCCGAGCACCGGGGGAGTGCGGGCCGGGGGCGGGCGCCGAGCTCGGGGGCGGGCCGGGGATCATGGAGCCGGGGACGCGGGGGTCCGGGGCAGGCCCGGACGGTTCGGCTGAGCGCTGTGCCCACAGGCCCCGTGTCGGCGGCGGTGGCCGCGGCCCCGCCTGAAGGGACCATGTCCAACGGCGTTTACGTGCCGCCCGGCGTGGCCAACGGGGACGTGAAGCCGGTGGTGTCCACCACGCCGCTGGTGGACTTCCTCATGCAGCTGGAGGATTACACACCGACGGTACGGGCGCGCCGGGGGGGGGGCTGGCGCCGGGGGCGGCCCTGTTCCTCCCGCCTTTCTCTCCTGCAGATCCCAGACGCCGTCACCGGGTATTACCTCAACCGGGCGGGATTCGAGGCCTCGGACCCGCGCATGTGAGTGGCCGCGGGGAGGGGTGCGGCCGCCAGGTCCGGGCAGGGCTCCAGTCCCCGGGGGTCCCCCCCGTGGTTCCCTCGCAGCTCTGATCCCGTCTCGCCCCGCAGCATCCGCCTCATCTCGCTGGCTGCTCAGAAGTTCATCTCGGACATCGCCAACGACGCTCTGCAGCACTGCAAGATGAAGGGCACGGCCTCAGGCAGCTCCCGCAGCAAGAGCAAGGTGGGAGCAGTCGCTTGGACGGGGAAAGCATTCCCCAGGGCTGGGCGGTCTCAGAGATCCCCCAGTGAGCACTGGGATGTGCAGAACGTCTTCAACGTGCTGTGCCTTTGAAAGAACAGCACATGAACAGCCCAGGGCTGTGCTGCTGGCAGAGTGGGGCTGGGAGAGAATGAGGTGGGCAGGACTGATGGAATGTGTGAACAGCCACACCTTGTGCCATGTCCGGCCTCTTACAGCAACCAGGACTATGAGGATTGTAGCGACAGGACAAGGGGTGATGGATTTAAACTGAAACAGGGGAAGGTCAGGTTGGAGATGAGGCAGAAGCTCTTCCCTGTGAGGGTGCTGAGGCGCTGGCACAGGGTGCCCAGAGAAGCTGTGGCTGCCCCATCCCTGGCAGTGCTCAAGGCCAGGTTGGACACAGGGGCTTGGAGCAAGCTGCTCCAGTGGAAGGGGTCCCTGCCCGGGGCAGGGGTTGGGACTGGAGGAGCTTTAAGGTCCCTTCAACCCAAACCATTCCAAAGATTCTATTCTTGGGAATGGACACGAACAGGGCGTAAGGCCGGTTCTGGGGATTCTTCCAGGCATCACCTCTCATGGGTCAAGGCCTCAGGAGGGTCCCAGTGGGATTTCTCTTTATAACATGGAGCAGCACTCGGCCTCTCTCTGCTCACTGAGGGCTCAGAGCAGACCAAACAGGAGCTTGTGAATGCCCAAAGCCAGGTGTGTGGCTGCTCATGGCACTGGGGCCTCTGCAGGGCACACCAAAACCCTCCTGGGTGTGAGAAGCTTGGCTTGCCCCGGCTGGGACTGACAGCACTCCTTGTTCTTGCAGGACAAGAAGTACACACTGACCATGGAGGACCTGACACCAGCGCTTGCGGAGTACGGCATCAACGTGAAAAAGCCCCATTATTTCACATGAGGACTGAGGGGTTGTCACTGGAACTTCAGGTCACTTCTCTGCCATTAAACACTGGGGTTTTTGGTGGGGCAGCATCTTGTCTCCTGCCCTGCCTGCAGTGGGTCAGCACAAGCTGCTGGCCAGTGCCTCTGTTCTCATCACATCACCAGATTGCTGCTGTGCTTTTGGAAGGTGAGGAGAGGGGTTGGCAACTGGTTCCAGTTGCATCCTCTGCCCTTCCCAGGAAGCTTATCCTTGCCTCAGGGGCCTGCAGGGGAGGTGTGGTGGGACTAGGGCTGCCCACATTTCTCCCACCCAAGCATCTCTTGACTCTCCAGAGGATGCTCGGGCCTGTCCCCCATGGGAGGAGGGTGCCCATGGGCCCGCAGCCTCCCTCCCAGCACTGGGGGAGGTTTGGCACAGCCTCAGAGCCCAGACCCTGGGGACTGTTGGCGACCCCTGTCCGTCTCCCACCCTCCCTGTGCCCCAGCGCCTTTCACAGCAGCTTCGTAACAAACGTTTATTGGGGATGCTGGCGGCTTTTCCACGTGCCCTGGGTGGCAAACCAGGGAGTGAAGCGCAAAGCCAGGGTGTGCAGCAGGCAGAGCCCCCTGGCTCCTTGGGAAGAGAGCTCCAGCGCCCTGCCCAGTCCCAGGGCAGCAGAGCCCATGGCCAGGCCTCCTGGCCCGGCTGCCCAGAGCTCTGGGGAGGGCGGAGGTGCTGCAAGTGCCTGGAGCTGGCGGCGTGGCCCCGGCAAGGGCAGTGGTGTCTGTACCGTGTCCGTGGCTGGCGCGGGAGGGGGATGGTCCCTGCTCCCCCGGCACTGGGTCAGAGAAGGCACTTGGGGGTGGTAGGGGAAGCGTGGCAGCGCGGGTGGGCATCGCCCTCTACTTCTCCTGCATCTTCTCCAGGATGGGCACGATCATGTCGAACTTGGGGCGCTTGGCTGGGTCCTCGTTCATGCAGATCTTCATCAGCTTGCAGATGTGCGGGGAGATGCCAGGAGGGATGGTGGGACGCAGCCCCTCCAGAGCCACCTTGAGCAGGGGAAGAGAGGGGCAGGATCCCAAATCTGGGCCCTGCGTGGGGTGGGCAGAGCCCACACCTCTGGGATGGGGGTGGTAATAGGCTCCCTGTCAGTGGATCTTCCTGCCCAAGGGCTGCCTGTTCCTGGCTTATCCCTGCCCTTGCTGAACCCTCTCCTCACCTTCATGCCTATCTCCATGTTGGACAAGTCTGCAAAGGGCACCTCCCGCGTCACCAGCTCCCACAGCAGCACGGCGAAGCTCCACATGTCAGCCGAGCGCCTGTTGATCTCTTCTGGCTTTTTCTGCAGGGCTGCAGGGAACCCAGTGCAGGACTGGCTGGGTCCTGTGCTTGGGCCACAACCACCCCTTGCACTGCTCCACACCTGGGGACTTGGGGCTGGAAACTGCTCATGGGAAAGGACCTGCCAGAGCTGAACATGAGCAGCAACTGCCTGAGAGGAGGATGGAGCCAGGAGGAGCTGGGCTCTGCTCCCAAGGAACAAGGGATGGGACAAGAGGAACCGGCCTCCAGCTGCACCAGGGCAGGGTTAGATGGAGCTGAGGAGCAATTCCTGCCCCAGAGGGTGCTCAGGCATTGGAACAGGCTGCCCAGGGCAGGGCTGCAGGCACCGGCCCTGCAAGGGTTCACACCCTGTGGAGACGAGGCCTCAGTGCCATGGGGCAGTGGTGGCCTTGGCAGTGCTGGGAGCGGTTGCACTGGATGACTCCTTCCCAGCCCAGCTGGTTCTGTGGCTCTGTGAGGAAGGGCCAGGGGGTGATGCCAGGCACTCACCTTCAGGTGCCACCCAGGCGGGCGCGTACATCCTGCCCGGGCACTGGAAGGAGAACTTGACGTCGGCCATGCTGATCCGCGCCGTCATGTCCTCGTCGATCTGGGGGGACACTGGTGAGGGGGAGCCCTGCCCGTGCCTACGGGGGTCGGGCTGCAGTGCGTGACCCCGGCACTCACCATGATGCTGCGGCTGTTGAGGTGGTGGCGCGGGATGAGCGGCTCCAGCGTGTGCAGGAAGGCCATGCCCCGCGCAATGTCAAAGGCAAATTTCACCGCCTGCATCTGGTCCACCACAAAGTCTGCAGGAGGGAGGAGGTGACAGCTCATGGGGAGAGGACCTGGGACATGGACCCAGCTCGCCCTGCGCTGGGGCTGGAGCTGGAGAGACCCTAAACACACCAGAGAGACGGGGAGACCGGCTGCAGCCGCCAGTGCTGTGACTCCTGTGGGCACTCACTTGTCCCCTCGTGCAACACATTGTAGAGGGACCCGTAGGGCATCCAGTGGCTGATGATGATGGGATGTGGCGCTGGGGGGGCCTGGCAGGCGCCCAGCACCGGTAACACATTGGGGTGAGAGAAGATCCTGCAAGAGAATCAGAGACTCAACCAGGTTGGGAAAGAGCTTCAGACTCATCCAGTCCAACCACTCCCCAGCGCTGCCAAGGCCACCACTAACCCATGGCAGGGACGGTGCCTGCAGCCCTGCCTTGGGCAGCCTGTTCCAATGCCTGAGCACCCTTTGGGGGGCAAGCACCAGCCCTGAGGGTGGCAGGTGCTCCCCACAGCCCCCCTGCACCGCTCCTGTGCCACGTCCTGCCCATGTCGAGCCCTGCCCCAAGCGCCGCTGCCCCGGGGCAGACGAGGCTGGTGCTCACCGCAGCTTCGGGTATTCCTCGTTGAAATCTCGGCTCTTGCGAGTTGTCCAGTCCCGAATTTTGAGCATTTTGATGATGATGTCGTTGCCCTGCCAGCGCCCCTTCCACAGCTGCAGGGACCAGAGGAGACAGTGGAGACACCGCTGCGAGAGCAACCCGCGGCCCCCGAGCGCCTCCCGCCCCTTCATGGGACTATGGGGTCCTCAGTGCCATGAGGTGACAGTGATACAGCATGAGAGCAGCGCCTGGCCAGCCCCGAGCCTGGCTCTGGGACCCCCTGAGGCATCCATGCCCACCCCTGCTGGGCGCAGGGATAGAGCAGGAGCAGGGCTCTGCTGCAGGCAGCGCTCCCCCAGCCACCCACCTCCCCTGACTGGTTCTCATTGAGTTTCTGGCTCAGGATGAGCTGCTTGAAGTCGATTCCAGCGAGTTTGTTGAGAGTCCCGTTCCCTGGGGGAAAAGGAGGGGATGGAGCCTGCGGGCGTGGGACCTTCCCCCCCCCCCTCCCGGCACTGCCCCGGGAGCACAGCCCTGCCCAGCGGAGGGCTCTGGCCTTACTGGGGCGCGTGCGTGTGGTGCCCTTCCAGAAGGTGTCCTTGTAGGGGATCTTGGTGAGGCTCTGCCCCAGCTTCTCAGCGCGCTCTGCAGGGGACAAGGGGTGGGCAGCGCTGCCGGCGCAGGGCACAGAGGCTGCCGCGCCGTGCTGGGCACCTCCTACCTCTCAAGACCTCCCTCAGCGGAGGCTTGGCTTTGTCCATGGGCGTCTCACCGTACTTGTTGGCGATGCTGACCAAAGCCCCGTTGCCCACCAGGTCCTGAGGGAGCAGGAAGCGAGCGTCAGCATTTGCCACACTGAGCCTCCTGCCTCATTGCCCCCTTCCCCACCCGTGTTGGAGCGTTTCCACTCACCTCCGCCACTGGGTCATGGCCCCAGAAGCAGGCGTAGTGCAGCGGCGTGTTCCCGTGCTCGTTCACAGCATTGATGTCTGCTTTGAACTGGATCAGCTGGGGCAGGAGGACAGTTCCTGTCAATCAAGAGCAGGGCCCCCCCCAGCACCAGGCCCTGCAGCAGCACCGGCACATCACCTGCTCTGGCACTGGCCAGGTGTGGGGCTGGGAGCAAGCTGAGGGTGAGCAGGGGCTTCTGTGGGGAAGGTGAAGGAGCTCAGGTGTGGGGATACAGCAACTTCATGGCAAGGAACCCAGGAGGTGACAATGGGGAGAGCCCTGGGTGGACCTGGAGGAAAAGGACCTGGGGATACTGACTGACAGAGCTGAACGTGAGCAGCTTGTGCCCAGGCAGCCCCCAGCATCCTGGCCTGGGTCAGCACCAGTGCAGCAGCAGGGCCAGGGCAGGGATTGTGCCCCTGCACTGGGCACTGGTGAGGCCGCACCTCGGATCCTGTGCTCAGCTCTGGGCCCCTCACTGCAAGAGAGACATTGAGGGGCTGGAGCGGGGCCAGAGAAGGGAATGGAGCTGGTGCAGGGCCTGGAGCACAGGGGTGATGGGGAAGGGCTGAGGGACCTGGGGGGTTCAGATGGAGAAGAGAAGGCTCAGGGGGGACCTGATGGCTGCCTCCAAGTGCCTGAGAGGAGGATGGAGCCAGGAGGGGCTGGGCTCTGCTCCCAAGGAACAAGGGATGGGACAAGAGGAACCGGCCTCAAGCTGCACCAGGGCAGGGTTAGATGGAGCTGAGGACCAATTCCTGCCCCAGAGGGTGCTCAGGCATTGGAACAGGCTGCCCAGGGCAGGGCTGCAGGCACCGGCCCTGCAAGGGTTCACACCCTGTGGAGACGAGGCCTCAGTGCCATGGGGCAGTGGTGGCCTTGGCAGTGCTGGGAGCAGTGGCACTGGATGCTCCTGCTCTCAAGCAGCCAGGCTGGTTCTGTGGTTCCCTGTCCCGGAGCCCAGCTCGGTTCCTGGTGCCGCCGGTGCTGCAGGTACCTTCTGCACGATGTCGCGGTGGCCGTGGCTCGCAGCCAGGTGCAGGGGGGTGTCGTCTCCGCGGTTCATGACGTTGATGCGCGCCCCGCGCATGATGAGCATGTCCACCACGTTGGCACGGCCCTCGCGGCAGGCCCAGTGCAGCGGGCTGAAGCCGTGGTCATCCCTGCGGGGGCAGCAGGCACACGGCTCCTCCCGCGCTCTCCCATCCCCACTGGGGCCCCGGAGCTCGAAGCCAAATCCCAGCTTCCCATGAATCACAGACACTGGCAGGAGCCAGAGCCTGGATCCCGCCTCCCCCGGCCCCTCACTCCATCCTGGCCAAGTAAGGGACGAGGAGATCGGCCGGGCCTTAAAAGGAGACCGGGGCCCACAGCAGGGCTGTGGCACCCCCTGCTCCCTCTGCACTGCACCCGACACCCCAACCCCGCAGGGCCCTGGC